CTTCATTGCAGAATTTAATCCCTAGAAATTTAAAATTAAGTATCTTTCTCATTATCTTTTCTTATTGTCTTAAGCTTCTCCTCTTATAAAGATAAAAATATCCACTGTCAAGTCTATAAAAGTTTCTGGGTCTATAAAATTTTATGGGCAAAGACTGCCCATCTTTTTCCCATGAAGCATCAGGTGGATTCAAACTACTGACCTCTTATTAGCAGAACATCATGTAACTAACCATGCGACCAGACAAACAAATAATCCATAACATAATGTGCACGAACTGTTCAATTGGAAAATCAGTTTTGCTCTGCTTAAATCACAATGAAATAAACCAAAACTTGTATTTTTCTGGAGTAAGATTTTCTTGAAAGAGCCCTGGCAGTGCAGTAGCCAAGCACTCAGATTTAGCAATCTGTCGCTGTAAAGAGCATAGCCTGGGAAACGTTATGGGACAGATATACCCATAGGGTTACTATTAGCTAGAATAGACTCAGTGGCACATAACAGTAACAGTAATTTTTTCTCTTGGGTTTTTTTTTGGAAAAAGTGTTCTCCAAAACACTGGTCTTGCATCATATCAGTGGCTAGAATCTTGAGTTAGAGACTAGAGGTTATCTCAGGAACCATAAAATAGGTAAAATTGTGAAATGGTGTGAGACCAGTTTTTCTCATCCAGAAAAGAGGAAAGAAATTTGTAGGTACCTGGGAAATGGGACCAGATACAATGGTTTTTTTGAGAAAAATCCCCGCACATTTCCCATCTGACCACTGTGTCCTAGGGTCACACTCACGTTCAGGCTGGGGGTGAAAGTCAGTGTAGGTTGGAGACTGGTAAATGAGGAAGTGTAGGCTGCTTTTTCAGAGTCGCTTGACTGAACAATGAGAGTGGGTGACCATTAAAAATGTGAGGGTAGGCAAGCCTGCATAACTAACCAGGCAAGTTAACAGGACAGCAGAGCATGCCAAGGACATTAGTAACTCACCAGAGAATTTTTTTTAACTGGTGAAATCTGATTCTCTTCTGTCACATTTCCTTACACTCAAATTCTGAGAATTTGGGCTTTACACACACACACACACACACACACACACACACACACACACACACGTTGTATCAAGTTTAATAATTCTTTGCTGATATCTGAAAGTATTTCATAATTACATCTTCTAAAAAAATCTCATTGCTATCAAGTCAGAACCATTGATTCTCCTGCAGGTTTTCTGAACTGTAAATCACACAGGGGGAGAATGCCCATCTTTCTCCATCAAAACTGCTGGTGATTTTGAACCAGCAGAGGAGTGTCACTTTTGAGTTAGCAGTGCAGCTACCTACCTATCGATTAAGGCACCAGAACGGTTTTAAAGTAGTGGAAAATAATGTTTAAGAAATTTACCAACATTAATACTGACAGTTCAAAGACACTTCCCAAAGAGTCAGTAAATTCTAAAATGTCAAGAACTACTTAGGAAGCTCTGGTGGCCTAGTGGCAAGAAGCTGTGCTATAATCCTGAAGGCTCACAGTTCGAGGCCACTAGCTGCTCTGCAGGAGAAGGAGGTGCAGTTTCCTCCCACGCAATTAACTACCCCTGAAAGCCCATTGGAGGGTCAGCTGTGGGTCAGTTCTGATTCTATAGTACACAGCACCACAACACAACAAGCTCTACTTGTGCCCCATGTTATTTTATGAAGGTGCACTAAATATAATGCAATTTATATAAATCAAACTTTAAAACATTGATGATTTTGTTAGCTAACAAACCAGCAAAATGTTGTTGGACTATTGTGCTTCTAATTGAAGAGGTTGAATTGTCATGTGTAGGCTTAGCATAATCTTAAATCCTCTAAAAGAGGAAATGTTTCTCAAGTATAGAGCATATCATGTTAATAATACTATTTCTCAAAGAAACTGAAATTCCTCAGACATGATCAAAATAGAAGATTTAAGTTATATCTATATAAAGCCAGACATGGCTTGATGAAAATGCAAGCAGCACTCCTTCGAGGCAGAGATAGTAAAGTGTCACCTCATGAACTGAGCATGCTCTTAGGAGCGCCTATTCCTTCAAAGATAATATGATGCTTGGAAAGGTAGATAATCAGCGAAAGAGAAGAAGACCCTCAATAAGATGGATTGACACAGTGACTGCAGCAACGGGGTCAAGTGTGTCAGAAATGATGAGGACGGCACAGAGAGGACAGGGTTCAGATCCCTTGTTCAGAGGGTTGCTGAGACATAGTCTACAGTACCTAACAAAAACTATCATCACAGTTTCAATCAGATCACTCAAATGACAGCTTTTGATGATTAACCTACCTTTTTCATTCTTGAATAATAAAAAAAAGAAAAATGCACTAGTTTTCTATGTGTCCTCCTATGCAAAAGTTGAAAATTTTGCTCAAAGTCTGCTATTAAAACATTGTACAGAAAAGTTTAAGTCTTTGTTTACTGAGACACACCTCAAATATAAAGTTTCCAAATCTTATCACCATTAGAAACTTTTGGCAATATGCCATCTGGTTAAAGGTTAGCCCCACAGCTAAGGATCATGTGGCATTTTTCCAGTGTATGTAGGAATCCAGTGCCTGGCTCCTGTTAGGATATTCCTTTGGGATGTAGGGAAACATCCATAAAATGAAGGGAGACCACAAGTACCTTTGCAACAAAATCATACCAAAGTTCCTTCTAAACAGACAGTGGGAGACAGCATTAAAAGCATGGAAGAGAATTATCTATACAATATAAAGATGCTTTACTACTGGATAAATTGTTATCCATAAACCTTTTCATCCCTATTATACTTCAATGTGTAGGTCATCCCTCCATAGATAAATAATACCTATTAGAATAGTTTTAGCACTGAACTAGTGCAGAGTTGTGCTGCTAACTCAAAGGTGGTGTCTCTCTGGCAGTTCTGACCCACCAGCCTAAGGAAGAAAGAAGGGGCATTTCCCCTCTGATGATTTACAGCCTCCAAAAACCCACTGGAGGGCCAGCTGTAAGTCAGTTCCAACTGGACTGCAGTGACCAAAAGTGAATATCTAGCTCATAAATTATTCAATTAATGTTTGTATCACAAATAGAAATGTAATGAATGACAGTACTTTCGGTACATTCAGTCAGGTAACTGGTTGTTGCTGTTATGTGCCTTCAAGCCAGAACCAATTCACCCTCCAGTAAGTCTCCAGAGGTTCTAAGTCACACGAGGAGTTTACTCATCTTTCTCCCGCACAGCAGCTGATGGATGCGAACCATCTACCTTCGGGTTGGTAGCACAATTCCTTACCCAGTAGGCTACCAGCACCCCAATCAATTCTAGGTGTACATTTTTGGAATCTATACCAAATCACTTTGCTATGGAACATTCCATTTTATTTATTATCAATTTAGCTTGAGGCGGGAAAAGGATTTGAATTAGGAACGAAAGCAACCTAAGCCCTATCCTGGCTCATCACTAGTTTGTACGAATGCAAGAGACTCTCAGTCCTTCTGAAGCTTTGTCCTATCACATGAAGCAGAGATGACAACTGCCATTTCCTAGATGTGACTGTGTGTCAGATGAGACTGAATCATAGATAAGGCTGGAGGTGGTATCAGAAATCAGAGACAAGATGAGAAAAATCATTTAAGAATTGAGCCTCAGGAGCCTTAAAGATTTTCCAACACCAATGTGTAGACAGTTGGAAAGCTGAATTAGAAGCTACTTATGATTGTTAATTGAATTATTAAAATTTTGGAGCAATTGCATTATAATTCAACATAAAAAATATGATCAATTAATAACTAAGCTAACTCAGAACGCACTCATAACTGACCGTCCAGTGAGTTTTCAGAGGCTATGAATTACACAGGAGGAGATTTTTCACCCTCAGAGCAGCTGGTGGATTCAAACCACCTGCCTTTGGGTTGGCAGCACAACTCCTTATCGAAGTAAGGTAATGATGAATTGATAAATAGCACTATCAATGAGAAAAGTCTCTTACTTAGGGGCTTTAAAACCCAATTGTCTTTAAGTCAACCCTGTATCGATAGAAATCACCTAATAACTTCAAAAAAATGAAAATATGTGAAATGGTGGTGTTGAGTACCATCTAAGTTAGAACTCAATAGCTGACCCTCTTGTGAGTTTTCAGAGCCAGTAAATCACACAAAAGGAGACTGTCCATCTTCTTCCGGCAAAGCAGCTGGTGGATCCGAACTGTGTGCCTTTGGGTCAGCAGCACATCTTCTCATCACCTAGTCAATAGATTTCTGTATGTAAAATAGTATGGTATATATATTATTAACGTGTGTGTGTGTGTGTGGTGTGTATGCAGTCCCTGATGACACCAGTAATTAATGTTTGACTGCTATCTGAGAAATTAGAGGTTTGAGTCTACCCAAAAGTGCCCCAGAAGAAAATTCTGGTAATGTGCTTCTGAAAATGTAGTCACTGCAATCCCTGTGGAGCACATTCTACCCTCACAAGTTGGCTATCACTTGTGTGTCTGTGCATTTGGACTAAAGAACATACACACACACACACACACACACACACACACACACGCACGCGTGCGTGCCCCTTATAGAGCTTGTGCAGAACCTATACTATGTCCATTTCCATTTTTAGGACCTAAAGTTCTTAAAGAGTCATGAAAAACCTTTGGTTGCTGGAGTAAATTTCCTCCCATGTTTTCCCACCACAATTAAAAACAAAAAATAATTAAGGGAAGCTCTGTTCAAAGAGAAGAGGAAACACACTTAAGATTATTCCATTTCTGTTCTGTGGTAGGAAGAAGTAAATCATCACTCTATTCTAAACCTCGCAAAGGAAAAAACCTTTGAAATCCAACACGATGTGTCATTTAAACACTTGAAAATTATCATGTGGTACAAATGACTCTCTCATAAACAATGAACTCTTCCTAGTAGGTGGGAAAAAAATTGATTTTCTTCAGTGAGATCTGATTTTTGTCTGAAAATTTATTTTCCTTTAGAAGTGTAAGCACGCCTCTCTCCACTTACAGTTCCAAGGTCAATGATGAAGCAGTCACCCTTGTTGAAACTGTCCCAGCTCAGGGGGACTTCCGTGGCCCTGACCACTCTTCGACCTTTAACATGAAGCAGCCGCTCAGCAGTCAGGTCGTTTGTGAGCACATGATTTAGTCCAGATGCCACGCCTCCAGCCTGTAAGTGGGAGGGAGAAACAAAACAACAGAGAGAACTAATGAAGCTTCTAACTGGACTCAGCAAAATAGCAAAATATCAACTCAGTTATTCGTGTAAAACTTGTACCAGATGATTGCATGAGAAAAGTTAAGTGTGATGGAGAGAAAAACTCCTTGGGAAATCACCCACAGGTTGTTTGTTTTATGTGATCTGTTTAGGGATTTGTTTGTTTTCAGGGATAAAGGGGTGCGGTTCCTTGTCCTAGTTTAAAAATTTCATTTACGATTGTAGATATCTATTGAAACTTGTCAGTGCATAAAATCCTATCACATAATAAAAAAGATGCCTTTGGGGAATTATTACAATGATTTAATGACAGATAAGAGGATTTCAGAGACACAAGTGATCAGAAGTTGAAGGACAGTCAGAAATACAGCACAGGCACATACATGCCACAGTGAGTGGACCGGCAAATCAAGTGTACGGCTGGACAGTTTTTACATTAAAGAATCATCTCCTTTAAGAAGTTACAGAAGTTATTAAATACCCTTTAAAAACTCATTGCCAGAACCCAGTGATAGCTGGCTCTCCAGCAGATTTTCGGAAGTGGGAAATCCACGGGAGGAGAGTGCCTATTTTTCTCACTCAGAGCAGCTAGTGGATTCAAACTATCCACCTTTGAGTAGGCAACGCAATTCACTAGGCCGCTAGAGCTCCCTCTAAGTACACTAGGCCTGAATATTTTTACCTTACATTAGGAGAAATTTCTCTTGGTGGCACATGACCAAACAAAATAGAAGAAAGTGAACCAAATCAAATTAAAGAAATGCTTAAATATCCAGTTCATCTACTACCTCTTCTCTCATTATTTGCACTCCTTTTTTTTGTTTTTTTAATCATATTTTTTATTAATTTTAATGAAAATTTACAGAGACTCTGGATTTCCATTCATTCATTGTTGCACTTTTCTCCCTGCCCACCCTGCCCCACATAGTACAGTCTTCTTTTTGAAAAGTAAAAGAAAAACTCTTACAGTGTTTTACAATCCCTCCCCCAAGGTCTACTCCACTATGCAGCCTCCGTTCTAGACTCCTATAAAGATAATATACAAACACATATCTCCTTGAAACAGTTCTCCCCCTCATCTGTTTCAATGAAGTATGTATCATTTATCCCATCTTTCTCAGTCTCCCCACAACCCTGATGTCAGTTCTATTTTACAACAGTGGAACTATGCAGCATTTGTCCTTCTGTGGCTGAGATACTTCACTCAGCATAATGTCCTCCAGGTTCACCCATTTTGAGTAATATTGCATGAGTTCCTTGTTTTTCAATGCAGCATAGTATTCCTTTGTGTGAATATATCATAGTTTCTCTATCCATTCGTTTGTTAATGGGCACTTAGGTTACCTGTTTCCAACTCTTTGCTATTGTGAACAAAGCTGCAATAAACATGGGTGTGCATACATCTGCTTGGATGGTGGTTATGGTCTCTTTAGGGTATATTCCCAGTAGTGGAATTGCTGGGTTAAATGGTATCTCTATTTGCAACTTTTTGAGAAAGCACCACAATGCCTCTACGGTGATTGCACCATTTTACACTCCCACCAACAATGAATAAGGGTTCCAGTTTCTCCACAACCTCACCAGCATTTATTGCTTGCTGTTCTGTTAAATTTTGCTATTCTCTCTGGGGTGAGATGATATCTCATAGTTGTCTTGATTTGCATCTCTCTCAGAGCTAGGGATTTTGAACATTTCTTCATGTGCTTGTTGGCCATCTGAATGTCTTCTTTGGTGAAGTGTCTGTTCATATCCTGTGCCCATTTTTCAATTGGATTATTTATCTTTATCTTGTTGTCATGCTCAAGTATTTTATAAATTCTCAAGTATTTTATAAATTCTAGATATAAGTCCCTTATGTGACATGTCATTGCCAAATACTTTTTCCCAGTCTGTGGCTTCCCTTTTTACCCTCTTGGAGAAGTTTTTGGATGTGCATAGGGATTTGATTCTTAGGTCTCAGTCATCTATTTTATCTTCTCCTGGTTGTAGATATACTCCTTTCTAATGTTTTCATTTTAAAGAATATGAGTAACCAGGAGGAGGGAGGAAAATGTGCAACAATGAATGAATTTTTAAAAAAAACTATGAGTAAATATAATCTTTATTTCCATAATAATTATGATGTAATAATGTTCACAATTACTAGCCATGTGTTAGAGAGCTGGACAATGACTAAGGATGACAGAAGAAGAATTGAGGCCCTTGAGCTGTGGAGCTGGAGAAGAGTACTGAACATACCATGGACTACCAGGAGAACAAATGGGTCTGTCATGGAGAAGGTGAACCAAGTTTCTCCTTGGAGGCAAGGATTTTGAAGCTCCATCTCAAATATTTTGGCCACATGGCCAGGAGGGACCAGGGTAGAGGAACAGGGCAGGAGAGGAAGACCCCAGAAGAGATGGATTGACATGATAACTGGGGCAATAGGATTTGGTGTGTCAGAGTCAGTGAGAGTGGCTCAGGATCGGGCAGGGTTTAGAACTATGATACATAGGGTCACTATGAGTGAGTTGCTGGCCACTCAATGGCACATAACAAACTGTTGTTATGTACTGTTGAGTTGAAACTAACTTGTAGCTGACCCTTCATAGGGTTTTCAGAGGCAGTCAGTACATTACATGGGAAGAGATTGCCTGTATTTCTCCTTCAGAGTCACTGGTGGATTAGAACGGTCTATAGACAATGTCACCAGAGGTCCCCATCTACATGTCTCAAACAGACAAAAAAGAAGTTAATTCAGTGAATACTACTTGAATTAACTTTAGAAACTTCTAGCCTAGGGGGGCAAAGAATGCTCCTTCAAATAGCACCATAAATACAGTTTACAGACAGATGTGGATAGTCACTGGCTGCAATCATAGCTTGGGTTAAGTCATGTTTAAACTTTTAAAAGGGGATGATTAGGCAAAGATTTAATTTGAGGGAATAGTGGAAAATCAACTGTCTTCTACAGTCCCCTCCGTCTACCCAAAAAATTTTGAAGAAATGACACAAGTCAATCAATGACGTAACAAGATAGCTTTTATGTTTCCTAGTTGAAGCTTTCCATTTTTACATTATATACAGCAACTGCACAGAGTTTTCATTGACTTGATAATAATAGACTTGTCAAGTTCTGCATAGTCCACATAGACACATTATTATGATAAGTGCCTCACAGTATAATGATTACAAACTCAAGACTCTGGAATCAGATGGTCACCCTCCCACATAGTAGCCATGTGGCCTTGGTAAATTACAGTCTTTCAAAGTCTCGGTTTATTTATCTATAATGTGGTGGTAATGATAGAAACTGCATGATAAGGTTGTTTGGGTTAAATAATATATGTGATATTTGTAGCACAGTCCTATAAACTATAATGATAGGATGACATTAAGTATAATATACTAGCATTTTGGGTCATAAATTATCTCTGCCTCTGCATTTCCTACCATTGCAATTGCATTCATTACCATATTATCAGTACCTTTAATGATAAGAGAGTGAACTGATTTCTTTGGCTGATAAATTCAGCCTCCATAAGCAAACATCCTCTTTCTGAAAATGCTGATTTGTGGTGGTTTTAATGTAGGCCATTGATAATTAGTAGATAACCATCCAATAACTGCAAAACTACTTTCACCATGTTCACTTTCAGATGCATAAGTCTGATTTCAGAAAGTCTGTTCATAGTTTCTAAGATTACTAATAATACAAGTCTCTATTCATCGGGAATTTACACGCATACACTGTAGGTGTCTTCATTAAACCTTACTGTGTACATTACCAATATAGGGAAGTTGTTCTAACTTTCATGCGTTTGAGGAAATTGAACACAGAAAGAGCATGTACTTGTGCAAAGGCAGACAAGTGATATGTGGCAGAAATGGGTTCACAGTCAAGTTAATGCCAGAGCCCTTGCTTTTAGCAAAAAGATACAGTTTATTTAAAATGTTGAGCTCACTGACATAAAAGATCATAAAATGTAGGAAGTAGCATAAAATTAAATAGGAGCTACTTGTTCTTCATACTTAGGGTGATTCATAATTTAGAAAGGAAAAGTAATTTCAGAACTAAATGTGAACATATATCTATATATCTTGATCTATATATATGATATCTGTATATCTTGATCTGAGGGCTATCATGAAATATTTAAACAAGACACTGAGTATTTACATGTAGAAGGTATACTGAATACACATTAAACATTCAAGTAACTTTAAATTAAAAACTTGTTCCAACATTGGAATCAATATTCTGGGATTTGGGGTCTTTAGTAGGGTATCCTTAGCTATCTAGTAAAGCTGTAACAAAAAATATTACAAATGGATAGCTTTTTGAATTAATTTTTTTAAATTTTAATTGTGATTTTGAGTTTACAGAAAAGTTATATTTTCATTCATTCATTGTTGCACATTTTATAGCTTTAACAAAATGAAATATATTCTCTCTCAGTTTGGGAGGCTAGAAGTACAAATTAAGAGCACTAGTTCCAGGTTCAAATTGTTTTCTTCTAGGTGGTATAGCACTGGTCTGTGCGTTGCTGTACAGAGGTTACTAGTGGTTGCTGTGATGCTGAAGCCTGTGACAGTGATGTGTCAATCGTGGTAATGGGTACCCATGGTTGACAATGTTGGCTGGAGCTTCCCGACTAAATCAAGCCTGGAAGCAGGAGCGGCATCCACTTCCAAAATGGCTTGACTCCGGAAACTCTATGTACGAACAGTGCTCAGGCCTCTCATTCATAGAATTGCTATGATTTGTCTACAAATCGAAGGCACCTAACAACAACAACAGCTCTAGGAAAAGGCTCTCAGTCTTTCACTTTGGGCTCTAATGGAAGGCTTTTGCCTCCTTTCAACATCTGTGGGCCCATAGTTCCTTGGAGATTTCCATGTGTCTTGACATCAATCTTGCTGAGTCTTGAGTGCTCTCAACATAGGGGATCCCCAGACCTAAAGAATCTACTCCCATTTTCTTTCTTGAGGGTACTAAGGGGTTTTTTGTATCTACTGAGAGAAAAAGGAATGTAGGCCACACTCCAAAGAAACTCCCATTACATTTGTGACCTGAATAAGAGTGTTACATCTCACACAAACTCCCTTAAAATTGATTGGCTGAATCAAATTGTAACATGGAAATCATTATATAATTTCTAAATAACTTCATTACATGAATGACAAACCATGGAGAACCATGGCCTAGCCATATAAACCCATAACTTAGGGGATACAGCTCAATCCATGAAAGGGTGAAATGGCTGAGGGATTGGGTGGTGAACGCCTAATCAGAAATTATTTTGTATGCACTTGTTTCTGAAATGTTCCTCTGAAGTGGGTGTTCCTTATTTTAACAGACTACCTATGGTGAGGGAGAGGGGCTAAAAGGATTATTAGTCTGCAAGGATCCCCAAAAGAATTCCAGAAAAATACTTTTTTACTGAAGGTTACCTGAAAGTGAGAGATCTATTTGCTTTTACTTCTTTTTTTTTTCTTTCAGAAGTAAAACCAACTGATGATTGATAGTTCATGCCAATATACATAAATTATATAATATATATGTATGTGTATATATATGTATGTTTGAATTTATACTTTTGTTTATGTTGCTAAATCATCTATATGTTTAGCTCAATGATTTCATATATATAATTTCTAAGACTAAACCATATTTTGAGGAAATATGTGTATAGTTCTTTGCATTAACTAAAGTTATAGTTGTTATAAATATTGTATTAAAAGTTTCTACAAGAATTGTGACTCCTGGGGAGCTCTGGTGGCCTAGTGGTAAGGAACTGCAACTACAATCCCAGAGGCGCATGTTTCGAATCCACCAGATGCTCTGCCGGGGACGGAGGGACAATCTCCTCCTGTACCAGTCAGATCTGATTTGACGGTACACTTACACAAAAATAATAAAAAAAAAAGAAAAAAGAATTGTGACTCCTAAGTATTGGGAAATTTTCAGTAAATTTGGAGATTCTCTTGCATAGTGAAAAAATTACTTCTGTTACCGATATTTATTTACTAAAATAAGCTTATGAAATTTTAAGAGACTTTCTTATAAAGCAATACTTACAGGGCTTTACTTTAACAACTAGCCTAATAAACCAGATCAAGTGCAACCCTATTGTGTGCCAACAGGCACTATGCCAGGAAATTGGGGATATATCACTGACTTAAACAGATTTCAACAAAACCAATGCAAAAATTAAAAAGCAACACCCTAGTTATGTAACGATATGTTTGTTAACAGGGAGGAAAAAAGCTGTCCTATTGAACAGAATGTTTACCTTGTATTTCAGACCTCCTTTGAAATAGCCAACAAAATCAGTGGACTCATAGCCTTGCAGTTCTCTGTTCTGCACAGGTTTGCCACCCAAGTAGTCATCCATTTGAACAGTGAAGATGGCAGCTGCAGTGCTTTCATCCTGGGTACACTCCTTTCCTGAAACAACCAACAACATGACTTCATTTCTCAACCAAGAAAAGAGTTTAAGCAGAACGTCTAATTCCAAAGAAGCCAGAATGTGTCCTTGAATTGTATTGCAATACAACTAATCTTCTCTAAAAAGATCTTTTAGCAGAAACAGTGTAATGCCAACACTATAAAACATTGTTTTGACAATAACAAAATGAAATAATTTTGTTCATCCTCTTCATAATCCTTTTAAAAAATTAAAAGACCCCTGTTCAATATGTAAGGGAAAAAATCTCAACACTCATTTCAGTGGAATTCGAACTGACTCATAGCTGACCCGCCATTTGTTTCCCAGACTGTGAATCATACAGGTGGTGGTTGCTCATCTTTCTCTGTAGATTCAAGTCACTGTGGCTTTTGGATTAGTAGAGAAACACCCTACAGAATGCACCACCAGAGCCCTCATGCTAGGAAAGATAGAGCAATATATTCCATTAGGGATCAAATGTGGACGTATTCATTTGATGCCATCAACAAGATCAGGATATGAAAACATTTTGTTTTTGTTTTAGTCTTTATGAGAATTAATCATCAGGATTCACTCTAACAATAAGTCAGTATTTAAGGAAAACAAAACAGGTGGGGACAATTAGGCAAAGCATGAAGAAATGGGAAATTCTTGGGCTGAAGTGTTGTGTGATCAGTGAGACAGATGCTGGGTGGAACTCTGAGGTACGTGAGCTCTGCTGGTGTGTGCTCAACACCTGAGTGTCCTTTACACAAGGTATTGTGTGATCAGGGTGACGCTAGCTCTGAGGCACCTGTGTTTCTTGTTGATGTATATCCCACACCTGAACATCCTTTACAGTCATCCCATGTGCTGGGAGAGTTAAAAGAACGTAGGACAGCTGTTAGAGATGATGGAGCTCGTTCTCCGTGGGTGAAGGCACGGCTTAGTTCACTGGCAATCAGACACACCTCCTAGTGAGCCGCCAATATGGGTTACGTGGGAGGATCCTTTAGATCAAGGTTGCAAAGGGGATCCTTTACTAACCGTTGGGAGAGGTTATGCTTATATTTTCCCACAAAATAAACTACATCCTGTGTGGATTCCTGCTCGTCATGTCCGATTCCAACGCACCTAGTGAGAAGATGTGTCGATTGAGCATCCAAGACAAGAAGATGAGACGGAGGAAAAGGAAGTTGAAGCCCCAGACACCTGTGACCTGGGGCATGCTGAAGGCACTCAACCAACAGGCTCTTGACCTTAACCCTGGGAGTGGTAAACCCAGTGGTCCTGTGTTTATAACACTACTTACTTAGCGCTGCTTTGACCATCAATAATGCCACAGCAGGAGAAGCTAACTAGGTTTTATAACTTTTGCCTCTTCACTTGCATTTCCTATATGTATATAGCTTTCCTCTCTATCCTATATTCATTCCCCAATCCAAGCTGGAAATGAAGTTATGGCAATTCTAACCTTTTTATTGTCTCCCCTGTTGTCATTACAAGACCTCTTCACAAGACAGAATGCCCGAGTAGCTGCACTGAATGATCTTTCTACTCTTACCTCCCAAGAGACATCAGAGACTTTCCCCTCTTTGGACCCATTTAAAAGAAAAAGGGAGGAGATGTGAAGGCCTCTGGCCAGGATGGGTCGCCTGAGCTCCAGACAGGTGCAAGCCTCCCAACGGCCTTTAATACAGGGTAGAGAAAGCTCCCCTGTGTTTAGCTGTACCAGCCTGAGAAAGCTCACCACCTGGGAAGATGGCTGCCCTGTCTGTTGAGCTGAGAGTGATCTGCATGAGGCTAAGGTTCTCCTGACCAATCCGCGTGTCTCATGTCTGTAAGCCCACCCTATCCTTTCTTTCTATGTATAAGTGCAGTGCTTATCCCAATAAAATTGAGCTGGATAGACAAAAAAAAAATCAGTATTTGGCCTTCTATGGGTAAATGGTTTAAAAAAACTGTGGTAACCATACACCATGGAATACTGCTCAATAATAAAGAAGTATGGACTACTGAAACATGCAAGAACTTCGCTAACATTCCAGGAAACTGAGCAGACTAAAAAAGACAATGCTGAAAAGTTTCAAATATACAAAATTTTTAAAACATAAAACTTTTAGTTAGCCTGAGATGGGATGAAGTGAGGAAGTCACTTTGACTGCTTGTGTGCCCTGCGAATAGTCTGTGGTTCTGAATCACCAGAGAGGTGCCACCTTTGGGTTAACAGCATGACTTCCTACAGACCATCAGCTCTCCCTCTGTGAGTAATGTGAGAGATCCTTCTGGTGATGGGACTATTCACAATTTTGACTGTGTTAGTACATAAACTTATAAAAAGGGTAGTTCTGTTGCATGAAACCAAGTACAGCTAAAACAGGGAAGATCTGAATAAGTTGGGCAGATTATGTAAAGGTTAGTCTCCTGATTAGGGTATTACACTACAGTTTTACCAAAAGTTACAACTGGAGGAAATTGGGTAAACTGGACAGGAGCTGTCTCTGCATTACTTCTTGCACTTATACTGTGAATCTCTACTTTGTCAATAACAAGGAGTTTTTTCAATAAAAAGTTGACTCAAAGAGTTTACGAATTTGTTGCTTGGTTGATGTGTTTATATTTATTTTAATTTTTAAATTTTGTTATTTTTTGTGTGTATACCGACAAATCAGATCTGACTGGTATGGGAGGAGATTTCCCCTCCTTCTCCAGCAGACCGTTTGGTTATCTATTTTATTTTTAAGGAAAAAAAAATTATTTTTCCTTTAGACACTGCCTCCCACTAGCTCAGTCCACCCTTTTCCAGGATGTGTCAGCTTGGCCCACAGCCTAGGAGGACCCATCAGACCCTGCACAGAACACATGACACACTCTCCCTTGCCTAGCTTCACCTTTACTTCCTAGGGTCTTATTACTTGAATAACAGTATCCAAATATCCCAATTCTTGCTCTGTGACGGAAATAGCAAAAAAATAAGGCCCCAGGAATAGATGGTATACCGATTGACGTATTTCAGCTAACAGATGATGCCCTGGATGTGCTCACCTAGTTGTGCCAAGAAATCTGGAGAACAACCACTTGGCCAACTGACTGGAAGAGATCTATATTTGTTCCCATTCCAAAGAAGGGTGACCCAACAGAGTGTGGAAACTACAGAACAATATCATTGATTTCACATGCAAGCAAGATTCTGCTGAAGATTATCCAAAAACGACTGGAACAGCGCATCAGCAGAGAATTGCCAGAAGTCCAGGCTGGGTTTAGAAGGGGGTAGGTCATGGTACTAGGGATATTGTAGCTGATATTAGATGGATCTTAGCTGAAATCAGGGAATACCAGAAGAATGTCTATCTGTGTTTCATTGATTATGCAAAGGCGTTTGACTGTGTGGATAATAACAAACTGTGGCTGACTTGGAGAAGCATGGGAATCCCAGAACATTTAATCGTGCTAATGTGAAACCTATACTTGGACCAAGAGGCAGTTGTCAGAACAGAGCAGGGTAACAGTTCGTGGTTCAACATTGGGAAGGGTGTACGCCAAGGATGTGTCCTGTCTCCATACCTTTTCAACATGTATGCAGAGCAGATTATCTGGGAGGCTGGGCTCTGAGGAGAATTGTGGTGTCAGGACTGGTGGAAGATCTATTAACAATCTGCGTTATGCAGATGATACAACCCTGCTTGCTGAAACTGAGGAGGACCTTACGCACTTGCTGTGGAGGGTCAAGGACTGCAGTCTTCAGTATGGACTGAGGCTCAATGTCAAGAAGACAAAGATTCTCACCACTGGACCAATTGGTAGCATCAGGATGGATGGTGAAGAGATTGAGATTGTTCACAGCTTCAGTTTGCTCGGCTCCACAGTCAACACTCTTGGCACCAGCAGCCAGGAAATCAAAAAATGTATTGTGATGGGAAAGTCTGCTGTTAGGGACCTCTCTAAAGTACTCAAGAGCAATGGTGTCTCTCTGGAGACTAAGGTGCGCCTGATACAGGCCATGGTCTTTGCAATCACTTGTTATGCATCAGAGAGTTGGACAATGACTAGGGAGGACAGAAGGAGAGTGGATGCTTTTGAGCTGTGGTGCTGGAGAAGAGTACTGAATGTACCATGGACTGCCAGGAAAACAAACAGATTCATCTTGGAGAGGGTTAAACCAAGCTACTCCTTGGAGTCAAGGATTCTGGGGCTTCGTCTGACATACTTTCGGCATGTTGCAAGGAGGGACAGGTTCTCGGAGAGGGACATCATGCTTGGGAGGGTGGAGGGACAGCACAAGAGGGGAAGACCCTCTATGAGATGGATTGATTCAGTGACTGGGGTAATCGGGATGGGTGTGTCAGAGGCAGTGTGATTGGCACAGGATAGAGCAGGGTTTAGGGCTGTTGTACATAGCTGTTTGCTATGAGTCGCAAACGACTCGACGGCACATAACAACAACAACAAACAATTAGCTCTGGGTCCTATTCCCTCACCTTGACTTTAAGGGGAAGTTCAAAATCATAGGAACCTTATTCTGGCTAGATGGAACTCCCCATCGGATATTACTTGACAAAAGAGTCTCTAGTGGCACGTGGGGCACCTGCAGATAGCTAGCATGCCCAAGGCAGAGTAGGAAGCCGCCTCCTAGGGCTTAGAACATCTTTACAGACTGAACTTTATGAAGTCAACAAGCCTCATGCAAGAGGGGGAGAATGTTAGTCTGCCTTTATTCATTCATCTATTTTGTTCCTCGAATCAATCCTGTTGACCAGTTATCTTTAATAAAGTTATGTGCCTTTTGGCGGGAAAAAGGGAAATCTAGATCTAGCAATCTACATATGTTCCCTCTTGTGCTTTTAGGAACATGGGAGCACAGTGGTTCCGTAAGAGTTTATTGGCTAACCCAAAGGTCAGTGGTAACAACTCACCAGGGAGAAAGAGGTAACAAAGTCTTTCTATAAAGATGATAGTGTTAACAACTCTATGGGGCAAAATCCACAGCAATAGGCTTAATGCTTCTCTCCTAGTTGGGTAGGGAGCTCTGGTGGCTTAGAGGTAAGGAATTGTGCTGCCAACACAAGTATGATATTCAAATCTATCAGCTGTTCCATGCGAGGAAGAGGAGCAATCTCTTCCCATTCCGTTTACAGCGTCTAAAAACCTGCTGGAAGGTCAGCTATGAGTTGGTTCTGACTCCAGGGCAATGAGAAGGAAGTCACCTATGGCTTAGGGTCAATTTGTTTGATTACTTAGTAAAATTACTCTTTGTTACATACAGTTATACTACAAAGACTTGTCCTCACCCTTTCTTTCTTACTGATTCTAAACTTTATATGTTTGCAATAATAAAACCCAAATAGTATACTTTTCTATACTAGGTCCTGTGTAAAAGCAGTAGGAATACACAGAGAATGAAACAAATTCTTTGCCTGAAGGAGTTAAAATGTACAGGGGAAGAACACTTAAGCACATGGTGGTAATACAAGGTTGTACTTTAAATAATCTTAAATATAGAAGGATATTGTGGAAACAACTGAGGGATAGATGTGGCAAAATGACTTCCTATTTGTACTTTCATTTTAAATCTCATTTCCTGCTTCTTCTTCTTGCTCTTTCTTTATTTCTATGCTGTGCACCTTTTACATCCCAATCTAACTATAACTCTTCTTTCATTTTCTTTAGGACAGTCTCTTTTAATCAAACCTTTTCTATTTCTGAGCTTTCACCTTTCATTCCTGGAATTTTGCCTCAATCTATCTCTCCATTCCATTAATCCACAGGTTTTAGATATCTTCAAGGAGATGAAGTAGGACAAGCTGCTGAATAATTCCATCTGAAAAGCTTGTTCACTATTTTGCTCCAAAGTTCTCTGTGACTCCTCTAGGCATCAGAACCTTCCAATCATCATCATTTTCCTCATACCTGCAGACACATTGAGTCTCTCATAGTTCTTACCACATTCGCCTTGTTCCATATCACCTTTTGTGTTTGTTTTACGATGCCTTTGAGACTATACTATGACTTTGAGACTTTGAGAAAGGTTCATCAATTATTTCTATCTAAAAAATTCCTTATATAGTACAGTACCTGGCATGTTGACTAGTTACCAAATGAATTGGCATCAACATGTCATTACTTTCAACAGAGCTTTAAGATCATGAAATATTTCTACCAAAGTATTTTCCAGCCCATTTTTAAAACTGATAAGCATTAAATGGCTACTGTTAAAAGTCAAAGTGAAGGGAGCTCTGGTGGCCTAGTGGCAAGAGGCTGTACTGCAATCACAGAGGTGCACTGTGCGAATCTACCAGATATTCTACTGGAGAATCTCCTCCTGTACCAGTCAGATCCGATTTGATCACACACACACACAAAATAATAAAATAAAATAAAATAAAATAAAAAATAAAGAAGACTGAATCTGTAAATCTTATAAAAGGCAAGTCCTAAGGAATGTATTCATTAAGAAAGTTTACAGAATTTAAGACTGTGTTCTAAGCCATTTTTCAGTCTTCTGATAAAATCAAGCTTTCTTATAAGTATAAATAATAATAAAACTTATTTATAGTATAATAGTTTTTAAAAATAGTATAATATAGAGTTCTTTAATTGAAACAGCTCTACTGTCCCACTACAACTGAATGAATTAAAAATTTTGGTACATTCACATGATGGAATACTACACAGCACTCAAGAGCAATGATTTAAAAAAAATACTACACAACGAGGGAGAGACTGGAGATCATTATGTTGAGTGAACTCAGTCTCATAAGGATGAATATTACATATGGCCATAAATGTAAAAAATTGAAGGGTAACTAGTAAAGTGTGTATGAGAATCGAAGGGGAGCAGTAGTGGGAGTGAAAGGATGAGAATGGGTAGCAGCAAAACCACAGGGTTGCACAATGTGGCGGGTGGAGGGAGGAGCAAAAGAAATGTGAAAGATCCAGCAGAGACTTGAAAAGACAAAGTAGTGGTGGACATACTCCAATGGTGATTAATTTTATAAAATACAATGTATGGGAATGATTGTATAAAACGTATGTCAATAAAGGAAAGGGGGGATCTGCATAATAAAAAATAGAGCTCTTTAATATTTTATTTCCCTCGAATAATAAATGTGACATTTCAGACACTTTTATTCATTTCAGATCCAGATTAAATTCTGGACAGACTGTTTCACCTGGCTCAGTATATATGCTAACCAGGGTTTAAGAATTCTCTAGAATAAAATAAGAATGCCTACAATAGGCTCTCATATGTCAGAGATGATGAAGATGGCACAGGATGGGACTGGATTCATAGGGTGGCTGAGTTGAATTTGACTCAATGGCTCGTATCAACAACATATTTTATAACGGGCGGCTCTAATAGCATAGTCTGTAAGGAGTTGTGCTGCTAACTCAGAGGTGTGTCTCACTGGCAGTTCAAATTCACCCAGTTTATATACACCTGGTCAGAATCCAACCAGTTCCAATCTCCTGCCCCATGGGAGAAACATAGGCAATCTCCTCCTGATCAATGTACAGTCTCTGAAAACCCCTTGGAGAATCAACTACCAATTTGTTCAGCTCCATAGCAACTAATTGAAATTTTGCTATAACACTGAAATAGGAATAATGACATTACAGGGAAGGATAATGTTTGCAAATTACAGACTCAAGCAAGCACAAAATTTTAACAGTGGGTTTTATAGTTGGAAGAGTCCTGTCTCTTCCTATGGGAAGCTCTGGTGGAGTGTGTAGCCAATCACACTGCTAACCCAGTAACTGCAAGAGAAAGATAGAAGACCCTGGACACCAGCAGTCAATCGCACAGGAAAAGATTGCTCATCTTTCTCCAGAGGAGCAGCTAGCGGATTCACACCGCCTGCCTGTGCCTGCCTTTGGGTTGGCAGCCCAACTCTCTCCCCATTGGGCCACTAGTGCTCCCTTAATACCTAAAAATTAGAAAATAAGGAATGCTGCTTTCAGAGACTTAAAAAATGTGTCCCCTAAACTCAGCAATAACCCTAAAAACCAGGCATACACGTAAGTCCAAGGGAAGCAAGCTGGTTTTAAAGCGAGGTTAAAAGGCTCAGATAATGGTCCTGCTGTTCACGGGTGGGGGTGGCGGGGTGTGCCCACTGACTGGCACAGGACCTCATAGGGAGAGGCTGGACATGCAGGATGTTTACGAGTAAGAGTAGAAGGTGGAAAAGTGGAGCACACAGGCCCAGTGTCCCGAGAGCCTGGCGCGAGCTCAGCCCCAAGTAACTGGTCCTGTTGAACGGGCCGTTTTGTTTCACCCTCTGTTGTTGATGTAATAATAATTAAATAACAAATCTAACAATAACGCGGCCCATTTAACTAAATCCGTAAATAAATTATTAATATAGACTTATTTATCTATGTTGGGAATATGTGCATAGCC